TTTACTTATAAAATTTGGGTGCGTCAATCATTTGACCTACTATTATAAAATGATCTGCGTGACAAATCGTGTGACTGTTAAGTTCATTAAATTTCGTACGATCATCACGTGAACAAAAACCGATCACGGATTATAATATCCACAATTTATAAAATTTATATACACACCCACACTGCATACCCGAAAAAAAAAAATGTCGTCTAAGAGAACAAAGGTATATTTATTTTTTAAGGGGTCTAAATACAACCGCACATTTTTATTTTTAACTTTATTCTTTTGCTCAACAAAAGGGAGTAACTATAGTATTTCCAATTGTTTATGGAAATGTTGCAACTTTACTGCCACAAAAAAAAGTTCCAGATTCAGATCATACACATAAATGGACCGTATCAGTAAAAGGGATCAACGGACAAGAAATTGGTCATTTCGTTAAAAAGGTTACTTTCAAATTACACGAAACTTATTCTAATCCACAGAGGGGTGAGCAAAATAATTTTTTTTTTTTTTAATATATGATCCAAATTTGATCTTTATAAAAATTTGGATATTATAGTTGTCGAACATCCTCCTTTTGAGATTACGGAAACTGGATGGGGTGAATTTGAACTTTCAATAAAACTTCAATTTATCGAAGGTAGTGAAAAACCTGTTACCCTTTATCACAATCTTCGTCTTCATTCTTATGAAGATGATGGCTCAATTTCAACTTCAAGCAAGAATAAACCGGTTCAAAGTTTTCAATACGATGAACTCGTACGGACTATAATAATTCTTATATAGTGTCGTTAATTTATGCTTTTATATATATCTATTATATATGTTTAATTAACAGGTGTTTACTGATCCCCCGGAAAATTTATATCAAACTTTGACAATGCACCCGATACCAACTCTCCCATCCAAGCCATCACCTAATTCACTATACAGTTTTGTATTTTCATATTTTTTTATCTTTTTTGTTTTATGAACTTGATTTTGGCTATTATATTTTTTTTTTTTTTAAAGGCTTACAGGTAGAACAAGATGAACTTCGTAAGATTGAAGAGGCTTACAGAAAAGTTCAAGAACAGATGACTATATATAAAAATAGAAATGATAAAATAACAAAGGAATTAGAAGAAGTTAAAGCAGAGTTAGAACGTACCAAAAAGTAATACAATTATTTTATTAATTTGGGTATGTAAAATCAGTTGTTTAACGTT